CTCTCTCTCTCTCTCTCTCTCTCTCTCACACACACACACACACACACACACACACACACACACACACACACACACACACACACACACACACGGCCACCGTTGATCCCCGCAAAGCAACGGTCCGATAATGTTGTTTGGTCCCCCGCGCCCCGCGCGACGGGACCAAAAGCACAAATCCCCCTGCCCCGAAACCGCCTCTCGGTGTGCCGGTGTGAAACGACACGACGAACCCCGAAACCGCGTCCCGACAGGTACCTGCCGCTAGGCCCACCGCGCCCCTCCCCCCGATATGCCACACCAGAGAACTGGGTCTCTCGCGGGACCGTCTCGTGAGACCCGGGTTTTGCTTTAGAGTATTAGGGATGGAAAACGGGGCGACCACTTGCTATGGATCGCGGAGATCCAGACATACTGTGGGACTGCACCGGTAGAGCCGGAAAGTGAAGTGGCTTTTTCGACTTCTTGTCTTGGTGAGACCGCCAAGGAATGGGTATTGTCTGAGGTCAACGCTGCTGGCTTCGCGGACATCGGTGAGCGGGAAAAGACCCTGAGTCTCCGAGAATTTCTCCAGAAGATCAAGGAGAGATTCTTGGATAAGACGACGACCGACAAGGCTTTCGAAGAGCTCACCACCATAGGGCAAAAACGTTGGACCTCTGTAGATGCACTATCTCTTGAATTTGATCGGTTGTTGCAGGTACCTGAATTGAACCTGCACGACAACCAAGTCCTTTATATCTTCTCACGAGCTTTGCCCGAACCCATTCAAGGACATCTTATGGATGAGGCCAAATCTGGTAAGTATAACTATCGATACTTCCATGACCTCGCGCTCCAAAGGGAGCAAATGACTGCACAGGTAAAAGGGACATATGCATCTGTGGTTAAGACAGGACCGGTTAATGGGTATGGTAAGCGGGTCCTTTGGCGACAAAAGCGATAGGACCATATGCTCGTAGTTTTCGACGATGACACCGTGGAGAAGTTACCACTCAAAGAACCTGAGGGAGGAGGTGGCACCGACAGCAGTAAGTCTGGGAAGGGTGACGTCACTGCTGTCATGGCCAACAAGGGAGGTCAGGGTCAGTAGAAAAAGAAGAGAAGGCCACGCTCGTTCCCTGAGAATCCCGACATAGCATTCGGGAAGCCATGGGAGAAAATGAATATGACACGCGTGGAATGACAGTCGAAGATGGACAATCGCCAGTGCCTCAAGTGTGGCACCGCAGGTCATGTGATAGCCTGGTGCCCGCTCATCAGGAACCCAAAAGCAAGCAGCCAATAGGAGTAGCATCTGCTCCTACTGAATGGAAGGGTTTAGACCAAAGTAAAATAAGGCGCCAATAACCCCTTCTAACCTTTTGACACTTAAGGCAAAGGATGGCTCTTCTTTCGCCCATCGTCCAGAACACCCTGACATTGTTCTTTGCTCTGTCTCAGTAGACGATTCCCGTGACGAACTCGACAATGAACTCACAGCACTTCAGAGTTCGTGGACGAAGAAAGCTAAGTCTAAGGGTGAACTAATGATCGTGGATATTGAAATTGCGCACACGTGAGTAGGTGTCCTGTTAGATCCAGGATCGACACGGTCTTATATCTCAGAGAAGGCAATTCGGAAATTGCATCTGGGAATGAAGGTAAGGGGCTTACCTCGACCTATCACGTCTATGCTGGCTGACAAGAGCACGATCACTGTCTCTCAAAACGTCGATCGTGTCAAGTGTCATTTCGTGACTAAGGAAGGAAAGAAGATTCTACATGAGATATCCTTCCTAATAGAAAAGAACCTACCATTTGACATGATTCTAGGAATGAATTGGAACGAGGAAGCCGACCCATAGGTAAGGTTTAATGAAAAAATTGTCAAACTCAAGGACGAGAGGTCCGAATTCCAAGCGATCCAGTTACATCATAGGTCTGGCTCTGACTCTACGATGTCTTTCTGTTGTATGAGTTACTCAGCTTTTCGTTCGATGGTAGTTAAGAAGAAGCTTGATGAGGAGGTGATGATGGTGCTTGTCAAACGAGTTCGTGAGTGTTCCTCATCCTATCCTCCTTCTATCGAAAAACTTCTTGACGAGTACAAGGACTTGCAGACTGAGCTGACGAGGATCATTGATCGTGCTATTAAGCACACGATCGAGATCACTCTCGGAAGCAAGATTCCCAAGAGCCCCATCTACCGAATGTCTCATAGGGAACTTGAGGAATTGCGCAAGCAACTACAAAGACTTACTTACAAAGGATGGATTCGCCCTAGCTTATCTCCTTATGGTGCGCCTGTCTTCTTCGTGCCCAAAAAGGAAGGTGAACTTCATCTATGCATAGATTATTGAGGGCTGAAGTCCGTCACAGTGAAAAACGCGAAACCACTTCGGCACATTGACGACCTGTTGGACCAGTTGCAAAGATGTAAGTACTTCAGCAAGATTGATCTTAAGTCAAGGTACCACCAGATAGAGGAGGCTCCTGAAGATCAACATAAGACGACATTCCGAACCAGGTATGTCACTACGAGTTCATGGTTATGCCTTTCGGGTTGACCAATTTGCCTGCGACCTTCCAAAGGTCCATGAACGAATTGTTTCGTCAATGGCTTGATCAGTTTGTAGTAGTCTATCTCGATGACATTCTAGCGTATAGTAAGACATTCTAGTCTATCTCGATGACATTCTACTCTCTCTCTCTCTCTCTCTCTCTCTCTCTCTCTCTCTCTCTCTCTCTCTCTCTCTCTCTCTCT